AAGGGTGTTTTTTTTATATATAAACACTCGGATTAAACCACTTAAAGATACCATCACCCATGACTTCTCCCATTTCGTGGAGACTCCTCAATAGGAGATCGTATATGATGCTCATGCCAAATACTCTTTTGTGCCCCGTAACGTTTTTGGCAATATATATATATTTTTCATTCTCTTTACTTTTTTGCTCAACATTTTGGCATAAAATCTGTAAATTTTCAGGTCATGATATGTTGATGGCGGTTGTAGGTCCAATAGTTTCGTGATTTCTGTTCATATTCTTTGTGTCTAAGCCTAGAGCTGTAACTCGTCAGGCAGTGGGTTCACGGACCGGGCGTTCATTCCAAACAAAAGTGGGCTGGCACGATGCTCTTCAAAGACAAGGGACCTTGTCCCCCTTTGTGTCCACAGGGCCTGGCAGGTAGTACTCAGTCCTCGTGTCTTCCTGTGTTTGTCTACTGGATGTCTCAGGTGCAAACCTTGAGATCGCCATAAATACATATGTGGTTTGGAAACGAGAGGACAACTTATTTTCATGATTTGGATGCATGTGAATTAAATATATTTTGTTCCTGAACTTAAGGAGTTGAGTACATTTCCATGGCTGCTCTTGGGACTTGTGAAACGTTAGTAAACTCTGGAACGTGGAAGTACTTCTGAATTAAATTGTACTGGAAAGTATTTGCTTCTAGGTTTTTGTTCCTCTCATATCTATCTTTAGTACTTTGCTTACAACCTTTGAGGATGTATCTTGGTTTGGGGGCAAGTATTGTAGATTAAAAATGACGTGGAGGAGCCACAAGCTTTTTTTTTTTTTTTAGTTATTGTTCATTGGTGAAAATTTTAGCTAATAGATCATAGGAGGTGATAGGGAAGACATAAAAAGGCAGCATAGGTAGTGATTTTGTTAAGTACTTAGTGAAAGGAGATCTTAACCCTGATATTGTAATTGGAATCACTTGGGAATCTTTTACATTTTTTTTTAATTTTTATTTATTTATTGTAGTCACAGAGAGAGAGAGAGAGAGAGGCAGAGACATAGGCAGAGGGAAAAGCAGGCTCCATGCACCGGGAGCCCGATGTGGGATTCGATCCCGGGTCTCCAGGATTGCGCCCTGGGCCAAAGGCAGGCGCCAAACTGCTGCACCACCCAGGGATCCCACTTGGGAATCTTTTAGAAAAAAAAAAAATAATGCCTGCCCTAGAAATTCTGTTTTCATTTTCTGAGGAAAATAATTTTTTTAAATTTATTTTATTATTACTGTAAGTTTTTTACATTTTTAAAATCTAAATTCAATTTGGCAGCATACAGTAAACACCCAGCGCCCATCCCATCACACGCCTGTCACCCACTCACCCCATCTGCCCACCCTCCTCCCCTTCTGCAGCCCTGTGTTCGCTTCTGGGGGGTCCTTAGACACGGCTTTGAGTGTCAGGGGGAGACCTGTGGGCCCACGGGACCCAGGGCAGCTCTGATCCCCTCCTCCCCGGCGTGGCCCCTCTGTTCCAGGGACGCTGCTGACTTTACAATAGCCGTGGCCTTGCTTCCCCTTCAGGTGCTTCTGCCTACGTGGTCCTGATCCTGAACAGTGTGCCGTGGGTTTCACTCGGCAAGGTCCCGCGGTGATGGAGATGCCCTCTGTGCGCTCTCCCGTGGCCCCCCGACAGCATCAGGGTTCTTGGGGGGTTTCTGTGTTAGCCTGTGGCTGCGGTTCACGTACCGGCAGCGGCTGCGGCACTGCTTTGTGTGGCCTCCGCCTCCCTGCGCCTCCGTGGCTGTCGGGGCCGGGCTGCCCGGGCTCGGCGGGCACCTGGGCTCGCAGCTCGCAGAGGCTGCCGTGTCATCCTGGGGCCCACGGCTTCGATGGAGCCCTTAGTCCTCCACTGCCCACAGGCCTGGCGCCCAGTGGGATGCCCGATGTCACCCCTGCTCCGCCGTCCGTGGTGGGGTGGCTGGACCGGCTGTGCCCGTGGCGCCTCCGGACGTCTGCCACAAGGACGGTGAGCGTCCTTCTGTTCCAGGCACAGTAATCGCAGAGCTGCTGGCCCTGGCCAAGCGGGAGGAGACCTATTTATTTGGTTAAAAACACCTTTTAAGCACCCGCCCCGCTGCTGCCAGATTGTATGACCCCCTTTTCACAGCTTGTTTTCCTGACCGCTGTTAACAATCTGAAACTCTATAACAAGCAGAATTATTTATATATGTCACCGTGTTTCCTATTTCAGGCTCTTCGCCTGGTTCTGGGCTCCGAGCTTCCGAGCGGAATGAGAAAGCTGTGAGGTCCCCCAGTAGTCTTGTCTTAAAAGGGGATGTAAGAGGTTTAGATGTTCCCTTTTGGCTTTTTTTTTTTTCTTGAAAGAAAATTGTGTCCCATGTAACCATGCGGTACGTCTTACCAGGGGGAGATTGGGGTGACTTAGCAATTCCATTCTGGGGTGGCTGGTTGTGACCTCTGCGGACATACATGTTGGGGAGTGTCCTTGTGCCTCTGTGTTTGTTATGTTACCTGATCTTAGCCAGTCTCTTCCTGTTATTATTTTAGAAAGAAAAAAAATGGAAATGTTCTCAAACATGCCATATTTGGAATTTGTTAAGAAATGAAAACCCTACCTTCCAATAAAATGAGTTTAAAGGTCAAAAACTTAAAGGATAAAAGAAAGATGAGTTTGTCAGTAGCCTTTGAAGATAGCAAGCCTGTTAAGCAGATATCTGGCAGGTGTGTGCACTGCTTCATTTTTAGATGTTTTGGGATTCCAGATGTCACTTTTCAGGCGGAGGGGGACTGTGCCGAGTCACACAGGTCAGAGAGCAAATGCACAGCCAAGTCCGTGGTATTTCGCTGCAAGGGCTCATTTACATATTTGAAACGTAAGACTTTATGTTCTTGATTTGGGTAAAGAAATAGTATGAACCACTGAGAATGTAAATGCATTTGTGCAGTGGGACATTTCCTTGTTATCATTTCCAGTTTGAGTGTTGCTGGAGGCTGGCTTCCCACGTAGCACCCCACGGCCTGCTGGCAAGACGAAAACTGAGCTGCCTGCATGGGCTGGTACGGGAGACGGCCTCGTGGAGCCCCAGCAGCCCTTTCAAGGGGTGGGGCAGGATTGGGGTGGAATGAGAACTTGAAGCTTGGTTTAATGATGTTCTTCTAATGCAAAGGAGGGGTGGTGGGCAGGGCAGGAGTTGGATTAGGGTTGGATAGGGATCACTGGGTCCTAAAGATTGGTTTTAGGGCTTAAACTGATGCTTTTTGCAGAAGATTTGATGGGTCTTGAAGGATGGATGAGCACAGAATCATTTGTGCAGGGAAGAGTCTCCTGGAGTAGGAAAGTCACACTAACGAAGGTCATGGGAAAGTCAAGTTCTGTTAATGCGGATGACCAGTTGTGTGGAGGACTGGCTAGTTTTTGCCATCAGTGTCCAAACTCTGTGAGAGTACATCGTGTCTGCTCACAGATTTTAGTTGAAGTATCAGAGGTGGAACCAAGAATGATCGAGGCTCCAAATAGCAGCTGTCGTCATATCCCTAAAGCTAACTTTCATGGGGACTCATCAGGGAATGAGCCCCCTTGCTCATATATTCATTCATTCATTCATTCATTCATTCATTCATTCATTCATTCAATATGCAGATATTTCCAGTTGCATACAGGTGCCGGGCGCTGTACTGGGATAGAAGACAGTCCCACCTCTCTGGCTTTTCCTGCAGTGCGATGCAGGATGCTCTGGACGTCTCTCCCGTTACGGATGCAGCCAGTAGCATTATTTAACTTGCAGTTCACATTCTCATTGCACGTGGATCCTGAGTGTTCGGATTCTCAGGTTTAGATAAGGCTTGTTGTAAGGCGTGTCTTGGTGTCTAGGGAGTTCGTGGGCCTACCTTTTTTGTTAATGTAAGCAAATCTATTCTTTCCTTCTATTTTCATATTTGAGTATTGCAATAGAAATATTTCCAGTGTAATATTTATCCTGAGCCAGTTGGGTTCCAGGCACTGAGCGCTGGGGTAGAAATACAGGTGTGCAAACTCCATACAGATAAGGCAATTTGAATACACCCAAATACTGGAGATTTTAATGGTTGCCATTCAGCTCCACAGATACTGGATGACTTCGGTTTGTCAGATACTGAGATAGGTGTGGAGAATAATACAACCCCTCAGCCTGTACAGTGATAGACTGCGTAATGGAAAGCCACAAACACCGCAGTCTGAGAAAACTCAGACACACAGATGAGCCAAGAGCCCTTTGCCGTCTGAAGAGGCACAGGCTGAGTTTTTTAAGCAGAGCACTAGGGCGGCTTTGCCAGCAGTGATGGAATCCCAGGACCTAGGAGATGCGCCAAAGCACCTCTGTGAAGTGTGAGAACCACCATATTCTCAAGTTTTCTGGACATGCGAAACCCATTTCTGTCCTCGCTTCTCATCAGGGGAGGAGCATCTCTGAGGATGGAGAGTGGGAACAGGGACTCCTTTATGGTTGTGGCCTTCATACTGCCCACCTGAAGTAGCAGAATCCCCTCAAAGGACAGCTGGGTGTGTTTCTACATGATGGTGTGCACCTAGACTAGTTTTCCCCGAATAACTTGACTGCACAAGTGGAAGGTGATGTCAGTGTGCCCTGCGGCAGGTGGAAACAGCAGCACACCAGCGATGGAGTGGACCTGGCTCCAGCACCCACTGGCTACCTTGGACAAATCACTCGGCCTGTCCACATCAGTAAAATGGGGACACCTGGGTGGTTCAGTCAGTTGTGTGTCTCTTGATCTCAGTTCAGGTCTTGATCTCGGGGTTATGAGTTCAAGCCCCGTATTGGGCTTCACACTGGGCAGGGAGCCTACTTAAAAAAAAAAATTAAGGTGTCGTTCGGATTAGATGCTTTTGATGATTCCTTCCAGTTCTGACATTCTTATTATGTCTAAATAGATGGTATTGTAGATAAAACCTAGACGACAGAGTTTGTAAATGAAGGAACTAATACCATTTGTCTTTCTTTTCAGTTTCTTTATGCAGAGAGTCTCTTCTACACCTGGCTATGAGATGGGGCCTGCCTAAGCTCTCTCATTTCCTCTTGTGCCTCCCTGGGGGAGTTCAGGCTTTGTCTTTACCCAATGAAGAAGGTGCCACACCGTTAGACTTGGCTTTACGTGCCGGACACTCCAAGCTGGTTGAAGACATCACAAAGTGAGTTTGGCTACTCGATAGATTGATTTTCTCTCTCTCTCTCTTTTTTAAGATTGTATTTATTTATTCATGAGAGACAGAGAGAGGGGCAAAGACACAGGCAGAAGGAGAAGCAGGCTCCTCAAAGGGAACCCAATGTGGGACTTGATCCCAGGACCCCGGGGTCACAGCCTGGGCTGAAGGCAGACGCTCAACCGCTGAGCCGCCCAGGCGTCCCTAGATTGATTCTCTCTTGATCTGTTTCTATAAAGTGTTTGACCATAGAAGAGTGGAAATAACCAGACTACAAGCTAATAACGGTTTATGTGTTGCTATTAGTTCTCATGTGTAAGGTACAGAGTACATAAGCAGATACACAGGTATATTTGGTATCAATATTTCATGGGGAGGGGGTTAGTTAGGGAAAAAAATGTCTCAAAGGGCTCCGTAGGAGACTATAATCAAGAAAAAAATTAGGAAAAAAAATTGGGAAACACTAGCCTACCTAGTACGTATCTTTCTGATTTCACCTTAAATACCATTGCTTCAGAGAAGCCATCTATGTTAGGGTCTTTTATCATTATGATTAATTTACAATATGGTGATTAAAATTATTCACAATATTAATCATAATTTATAAATTTTAAATGTAGTCATCATTTGTTAGGTCTCCATCCTGTATCATTGGAGGGCTGAAAGTATTTGTATACCCGCTGCAGTATGTCTAGTGTCAACATGTAACACTCATTGAAAGAATATAAATTTTTGTTAAATCAGTAATAGATAAATCCTAAGGTACAATATGGTTATTAGGATCTAGTGAAGTCATGTAAAGGGAATAATAGTGGAACTGTAAAGTTTGCTATGTTCATCATGATATCAACATTCTCAGTGAATGAAAATGTGTGGTTTATTACTTAGAATAATCTTATGAGGGATCCCTGGGTGGCGCAGCAGTTTAGCGCCTGCCTTTGGCCCAGGGCGCGATCCTGGAGACCCGGGATCGAATCCCACATCGGGCTCCTGGTGCATGGAGCCTGCTTCACCCTCTGCCTGTGTCTCTGCCTCTCTCTCTCTCTCACTGTGTGCCTATCATAAATAAATAAAAATTAAAAAAAGAATAATCTTATGAATAAGGTCATATTCTTATGAAAGGGGGATTCATATATAATTATCTCCTTGACTTATTAACAGGTATTAAAAAATAAATGGGAAAGTATATTGAAAATCACAAAGTGCTATGTAAATATTAACTATCACTGATATATTATTATATGGTGTATCTTAACGGGCTGGTTTTTCTTATTTGGCTCATGAAACTCAGTGTAATTAATTTATGGTTTTAATGGCTATAGAGTTAATAGAATTAATTTATGGTACATAATGGATATAGAGTTGATGTTCGAATTTTCTATTTTTGTTCTGCTTTGGTCACATGACCACCAAACAAGGGAAAAGCCCATCAAAAGGAATTGCCCTCTGTTTGCCTCTAACATGACTCCACTAGCTTGGCCCAAGAGACCAAGGCAGGACTACTTCCTTTGACTTGGTCATTGTGGATGGTTCAATGTGAGATAAAAGTCCTGGCTGACTTCATCTTGGGCAACTTAGTACCTTTCTGTTGTCTTCAGGACCGGGAGGTATTATGGGCTTTAAAGTTTTGCCGGTCTAACCAATCTATTCATGAATGGTATTAGAAGTAGACCGTCAGCTAAAGTCTGAGTGTATAGTGAAGCTTCCATTTTCTGGCTCAGGCTCAGAGTCCATTTAGGATGGGGACTAACATTCAGTCACATGTTAGGATGGGGAGTTTTCTAGAAGATTCTAGACGTTAATGTCAAGAATTTGGGGAGCTGCCCCACATCTTAGAGTTCAGGGGCTCTTAACAGATCTCTTTTTGCTGCTCCATATGATGGAGATAACATCTATTTGATTGGAAGTATATTTTCATGAAGTATAAATTCGTTAATAAAACGAGGTCATGTAAGAAGAGGAAAGGGGCATAGAGCGAGCGCTGTGAAGCGAGGATTCTGGGAGCAATTTGTGGAGGCGTGACCGCGTCCTGAAGGGGGCTGTTCCCTGGAAGCACTAGCATGTTCCTCCTGAGGCTCCTTTACTGGTTGAAATGGAATGACCTTGTGGGCCATCCAGAACATGACACTGACCGTGAAGCCTATGGATAGCTGGTAAATGTGCGATTGTCGGCCGAAACAGAACAGAAAATAAGTTTATTTTCGGGACTTTAGTCTGGGAATACTGCTTCTTTGTACATGGATGTTTTCAAGAATACCACAAGGTCAAATTCATGCGTTTTAATTTGCATGATAAAATGATTTACAACAGTGGACCAGTGTGCTATGAATATCCCACTTGTTTGTAACATCCAAACCTCCCCATGCTCCCTGGAGAGCCTATCTGTTTTCCACTGTAATCACCTAATAAGCTGTTGGCTGCTTGCTAATTTGTTCTAGGACATGTGACCCCATTAAAGCAAGAGGCCTCTTTCTGAATTAAACAGAGAATGAAATATCGAAGTAAAATGTTTAAAAGTCAGTCGTGTCACTGGTTCTACAGATAACTGTAAAGTATGTAGTGTATGTGAATAGCTTCTCAACTGGCATCGTGTCTCGGTGGAAGGAGGTGGCTTCGTTAGGATCTGTTTACGTGATTCTGCGTGCTTATTGTCAGGTGGCTTTCACGGATCCTTGTGCCAGTTGCATTGGTAATACGGGGGTGGGCAGCGAGTGAGGTGGGACCTTGGGGTTGAGGTCTCTGAAGCTGCCAGTAGGTTTTGATTTGTGACATTTCAGTTTCCAGGGCAGACGTTCCCCTGACCTCTCCCGAGTGGACCTCGGCGGACGTGCCTTCCTGCAGTATGTTCACCCGTCGGGGACGCTGACGCTGACGCTGAACCACACAGCCGAGCATTTGTTGGAGGCAGATATTAAACTCTTCAGGAAATACTTTTTGGACAGAGCCTTTCTCCTCAAGGTATGTGTGTCCCTTCCTTCCGGTAATACAGTAACTCATGCTCCTCGAGAGGACAGACTGCACGCTCCTTGTCTTGGGAACTGTGTTCCGGAGGGCAGCGCTTTGTCTCCGATAAAACTTCAGGAACATGGAATTGGAAGCTGTGTTCCATCAGCAGAGTGAAAATTACAACATAATATTTTGCCAATAGAAAATAGTAATTTGTGTATTTATTTTCCAGAAGCCAGCATCACTAGTGTTGGATTATAATAATGTTGGAAAATACGGTGTTTTGTATTAATTGATTTTACGCAATTCTTATTAAAAGCAGTTGTATTTAGGGTTGTTATACATGAATAATACCTACTCCTGGGATTTCTTAAGGCTTAGATGCAGTTAAGCATTTTGACCCCGTGTGTAGTTTCTTTTTAAAAGGGGACTGGTCACTCAAAATGTTCCTTTCAAAGAGCTTTTTACCCTTCGCAAAATGGCTCCAGCGTCAGTTTTCAGTGACGTCATAGCATGCCTATCTCGGAGTTTAAAATGTTTCATCTTTATTATTATTTTTTATGTTTTGTAGAATCTGGAACAATATAAAAATATTTGCATCTTAATTATTAAAGCAAAGTGTAGTGTTATTTTGAGTAAAAGGGCTGTGTCAATCTAGTTGACCTGCGCCCCAGGATATAGTGGATTCACTCACCGGGTGCCCTGAGGTCCTGTGTTCTCAAGCACATCCATTAGGAAGGCACAGGTTTCAGGACTATGTAGGCTTTACAAAGTAAACCATTATATATATATAAAAAAATCTCATTCATCACAGTTTTGGCTTTTTGTGTAATGTTTGCCTCCTATAATTAAATGACAGATTCAGTCAAAAACATTGTGTATCAAGGATTATTGTTGGCTTAATCCATATCAGGTTTTATTTAAAATTTTAAAAAGATTTTATTTATTTGAGAGAGAGAGAGGGAGAGCATGCGTGTGTGCCCATGAGTAGGGCAGAGGGAGAGGGAGAAGCAAGCTCCCCGCCGAGCAGGGGCTCGGTCCCAGGACCCACCCTGGGATCATGACTTGAACTGATGGCAGATGCTTAACCAACTGAGCCACCCAGGTGCTCATGTAGGGTTTTATTTAAAGAAATAAAATATTTTATTTTATTATTTTATTTAAAGAAATAACATGCTTTTCATAGGATGAACTACATCCCTTTGTTGGGTTTTAGGACATGTATCATTTTCTGGTGGACAGTATTTCCTCATTTTGCTTAAGGATGCTTCTCATTTCAAGATACTGAGGCCATCGGGGATCCCTGTGGCTCTCACCTGCCCCCCCCCCCGCAGTGGATATCTGGCCCCGCAGAGCCCAGGCCTTGAGGGGCCACATTGCTCCGGATGCACGCGGCTCCCTGCAGGTGCCCACAGAGCTCAGTGGCACGTGTGTCTTTAGATGCTCTGGTTGCAGTGTGGCACCTGGTGACCAAACTCCTGAAAGGAACAGAGCATCCCGTGTGTCTAGCAAACATCGTGAACGTTTGTCTCGTTATGAAAACCACCAGCTTCTGAGGTGGGATCATGATTTCTCCTGATGCATCTGAGATGATAGTTGACTTGGCGGGTTTAGGATGAGTCGTTCTAGGTGCTTCAGTAATCTGTTGCAGTGGACTCGGGATAACAGAGGCCAAACGGAGACAGCTCTCCGGCTTCTCGGAGATTGTCATTTTATGAGAAGCATCCATCACCGTGGAATGGCCTGGAGCTGCCCCGTGCCTGTGCTCCTCCTCTTTCTCGGAGCCCGTGTTGTGTGGCTGGAGGGTGGGCGGGGGGAAGAAGGCAGAGGTTCTGGAGGATGTTCTGACTTAGAAGAAATGCATCTTGTTCTTTGTCTACTTCTGCTTCTGGGATTACAGCTCTGTCACCTGTGGGATTTTGAGGCATCCACAGCCACAGTGCCATCTTTTGTTGGCTTAATGAGGAGCTTTTGGCAAGTGCCTGATGCCCAGGCTGTGGTTGTGGGCTCGAGCCTTCCGCTCCGGGGCCTGGCCTCCAGGGCGGGAGGGGGGCTGCCGTTGGGGTTCAGGCACCAATACCAGTGAGGTGATCAATCAGGCCTCTGGACTGAAGCCCCCGGGAGAACCGGGAGCACGGGTTCAGGGAGCGTGCAGGCAGGCTCCACGACACCTTTCCCGGCCCTCCCCACGGGCGGTATTTCCACCCGGCTCTTCCTCGGTTACAGCGTTTTATAATAAACCAGTGATCTTGCAAGGGCACTGATCCTCTGAGGTCTGCGAGCCGCGCCAGCAGATCAGTCACATCCCAGGTCGGGAGGTCATGGGATCCCCTCATTTGCAGTCAGTTGGTCAGAACTGCAAGTAACAACGGGGACTTGGGAGTGGCCTTAGGAGTGGAGGTGGCCCGTCTCGTACAGTGTTGGAGGACGGCTCCTGGGCGGGGGACCCCAAGCCCCTCCAGTATACCCACCTGGATTGGGTCCAGAACTCTAATTGACATCCAGAGTAGTTCTTACCTGCTCCACGAAACGTTTCTATAGTATTTTTGAACTTAATGTTTTTGATGGTACTCCTTTTCTAGTTTGATGCCTTTTTTTTATTATTATTTATTCATTCATGAGAGACACAGAGAGAGGCAGAGACACAGGCAGAGGGAGAAGCAGGCTCCATGTAGGGAGCCTGACGCAGGACTCGATCCCAGAACCCCAGGGTCACGCGCTGGGCCCAAAGCAGGCACTCAACTGCTGAGCCCCCCAGAGATCCCAGTTTGTTGCTATTTTAAATGAAAATAGGTGATAACTGTTACAGGTTGTCAATGCTAAAGCTTTACAATTTGGGGGAACAAGTATGGAATTAGTTTAGTAATAAAGTATTCTTGTTTTATGACATCTTAGGTACATAAAATTATGCCTGTTTTTGTTTAGTTCTTTTTTACACAACAGCTGTAGATAATGACTTGGAACTAATGACTAATTTATTCTGAGCTGCGGCATATCCTCAGTCCTGTCTTAGCCCCTCAGTCTTGGGATTTGGGCATTGCTCGGTTATCTTCAGCCTTTCTAGAGCAACGACAATAAAACCTTAGTCCAGAAACCTGAGTCTGCTTTACCTGAGTCTACGTAGACAAGAGGCGTTCGGGTGATGATCCCATTTAGATGCCGCACTTGTTAGGGGTTAAGGGTCCGTGTTACCACACTGTATCATTGCAGACATTGGGGGGGGGGGCTGATAATTTGCAATTTAACATTGAACGTTAAAAAATGACAGGTTGGTGCTAAATATCCAAAAAGCAAAGATATTAGGAAATCAGATAATAGGCAAAATCTGAGCTATATTTTTCGATCATGTTTTAGTTCTCTCATCACACTTTTTCCTGTTAATCAGAATGTTGAGAATTTAGTTCTAGACCTTAGCTAAAACTAATAATGGAGCTGGGAAATTCAAATGTTCTATGATTGCATCCAAATCTACTCATAAGAATAAACATTTTTAAGATTTATTTATTCATGAGAGACATGGAGAGAGAGGCAGAGACCCAGGCAGAGGGAGAAGCAGGCTCCGTGCAGGGAGCCCAACGTGGGACTCAATCCCGGGACCCCAGGGTCACGCCCTGGGCCGAAGGCGGTGCTAAACCTCCGAGCCCCCCCGGGCCGCCCTAAACATTGTTTTTAATAGGCCCCATTTAAAAAAAAACTAAGTGTTTTCCTCCGTCAGGTTGTGTTTTGTAATCGGAGCAGCAGCCTGATGCCCTTTCCGTGTAGGCTTGGCCTTGGCCTCCCCTGAAGATGAGGCCCTCCGGGTGGCGAGGGCCGCTGGGCCTTGAGCCTGTGCGGGGAGGCTCCCATGGCCTCTCGGGCAGTCCCTGGCCCAGTCACTCCGTGATGCCGCGGTGGGCCCTGCAGGAGAGGATGCTGGTCGTGGGGTTGGCGAGCAGGCACTTCTCATTTCCTGCCCTTTGAGAGTTGGTTAAATGTGTGTATTTGCATGTTTCGCGTTGCTGTCGCTGCTCTGGCCTTGGGGTGTTGCTCTGGAGGAGCCAAGAGCCCGACTGAGCCTGGTTGCTACCCCGCCCACAAGGGTCCAGGGCTCTGGGCCGGCTGCCGTGTCCCCTGCCCAGCGTCACCTACCACCCCGCCATGGGCCGTGCGCCGTGCGCCGCCGCAGCCTTGGGCACTTCGCCATCGGGCACGTCGTGCGGGATCTGGGGCTCCTGGGCTCATCCTTGGGCACCCGGTGTGGTCATGGCTAGGGAAGCCTGTGGAGCCCAGGGGACGAGCTGAGCGGCGCCGCTCCCTTCTGCCCTCGGGATGTTCTGATCTCGGGGTGGGGAGGGGGGGTGGCCTTTGCAGCTCATGCACTAGGTTCCGGAGGACCTTTGGTTGTGACGTGGGGCATTGGCGGCAGGGACCCTGCTGGCCCTGCCTCCGGGCCCCTGTCTCCTGTCAGCCTCCTCCCAGCAGCCTTCCGCCTCGTCTATGCAGCCGGCCCCACCCGCATCGGCCTGTCCCAGCTCCCAGGCCTGTGATCCCAATTTCCGTCTCCTGGGCGCAGATCTGAACCCGCTGGAGTTTCCCATTGAGTTATTTATTTATTTTTCTTTCTTAGGCTCTTGACGACCGAGAAGCTGGGCCACAGGAGAGCCGGGCCATGCCCTCCCGGGCTGCCGCCACCGAGGAGGGTACGCGAGCTGCCTCCCCCGCGCCCAGGAACCCAGAAGGTGCTCAGGGCCGCCTCCGGGGGTCGGAGGGGGTTGGAAGTGCAGCCGGAGCCCAGAGCGACTGGTGGGCGGGGTCGGGGCCCTGGGGCAGAGGCAAGCAGTGCGAACACTGGACCTCAGTTGGCATTTCCTGAGTGCCATTGGCCCCACCCTGACCTCCAGGGTGCTCTCACGACGCGGTGCATTCGCCGCAGGTTTGAGCTGCATTTGTTCCTTCCCAGACACCTGTCCTTTGGGTCACTCATCCTCTGTGCAGCCCTGCCCTGGGCTAGTCCGACATCAAGAGTCTGGAGGTTGGGTTGGTGTCGCTGTCGATATGTACAGGTCACCACAGGCTGCAGGGTGAAGGCAGGGGTGCTTGTGTTCCTCGAGACACACACAGTCACACCCGACTTGGTTGTCCCACATGGATGGTGACAGTCGTCATGGGGCTTCGGGGGCTTGAGGGCACAGATCCACCTGTGGATCCACAGCGAGAGGTATAGTTGTCGTGCTGCATCGTGGACGTCTCAGCTGTAGGTAACACCCAGCTCCCCTGCAGGGGTGCCATCCGGGCATGTGTTCTCCACCTCGTCATGGTTTCCCCCCGCCCGCTTTTCCATAGACAAATAAGTCTTATCTGTTAGCAAGTCCTTGTGATGGGCATATTTATTTATTCATTTATTTTTAAAGATTGTATTTATTCATGAGAGATACACAGAGAGAGGCAGAGACCCAGGCAGAGGGAGAAGCAGTCTCCATGCAGGGAGCCTGATGCGGGACTCGATCCCGGGACTCCAGGATCGTGCCCTGGGCCAAAAGCAGGCGCTAAACCGCTGAGCCACCCAGGGATCCCCGTGAATAATATTTGTGATTCTGCGTGTATTTGGCAACGTAGACTAGTTGCATTCCAGTTATTTGTCAGGCAGTAAACTCTCACACTCTCGGCCCCCATGTCTGTTCAAACATAGTCTTGGAGAAGGAAGGTTTGCAGCAAGGCATTGGCAGTCGTGCGGCCCGTCCCTTTTGCACACCGTCCGGGGTTCAGCTCACCGGCTGGACCTGGCTGGGCCTCTACGGACTTGCCCTCAGGTCTGTGTCCTGCAGGTGATGTGCTGGGGGCCCTGAGGGAGCAGCAGCTCATCCTGCCTGCGAAGGAAGCCCTGGGTAGCTCTGTGCTTTCTCCCAAAGGCCTGGAGGGGTGACTGTCTGGAAGGCTGGCTTCCCCCGAGCGTTCGGCTTTGCTTCTGTTGCTCTAAGTGTAACTGAGCAAGTGTTTTCCTCATAGCTGGTTGACAAAGACAAAAACTTGGAGCCAGGATGGTGCCGCTAACTGCTTTTATGTCATTCATTTAGTAAGCTTCCATCCTTGCATTTTCCCTTATAATTTTTCTTCCCTTCTAACCCACCTTTAAACTGATTTGGAACAAAGTAGAGTCTGAATAAGTGTTTGAATTCTTGCCCTTATGGGGGGCTGACACTTGGGGTTGGGGCAGGAAAACAAGCTGCCCCAGGACATTTTGATACGTGCATCGGGGCATCCCATGCGAGCAGCACGGGGAGAACTCTGTGGCTCAGGATGGTGCAAGGGTCAGCGCTGCCCGGAGGAGGTGGAGAGAAGGAACTCCGGGCAGTGCAGGCGTGCGCGATAGAAAGCTCGGATCACATGATAAATCGAGGGAAATGCAGATGATTTTGTAGTCCTGTTGATCAGGGCGTGTGCTATGTGCACACATGCGTGATGCCGGTAACACAAGCCTTGGGAGGGAGGCAGGAACCTGGAACTCCACCCTGACCGCGGCGGGAGCTGCTTCAAGCAAATGAGGCTCGATGATGATGATTTTCAAAAGGTCACTGAGAGCGTGGAGAGCGGGTTGGAGGGATTGGGGTGGGGGCAGGTGTAATGATGGGGGGGGCCCTAAGGTGGAGGGCATCAGCCGTGAGGGGGAGTGTGACTCCTAGCTGGAACAGACCTCGCAGGCGGCGGGGTCATGACGGAAACTGCACTGCATCTTAGGTGCGCTGACTTAGGTGGCCTCGAAGCAGCTGAGGCAATGACACTTGCAGTCATGCAGGCACAAGGTAGGATCAAGTGCGCCAGCTCCACGGGGTCAGTGTGTGTGCTGTACGGAGCTGGTGGGCAGCGCTTTGATCTGCATCCTCGGAGGACACCCTAGGAACTGCAGGTCTGTGGGGCGTGGTGGTAGGCTGACGTGGAAAGCGTCAGGGCCGGTCCGCTTGTCCACCCGTAGGCACCTAGACGTCTGCGTTTTCTCCCCCCTTCTTCTTTAAACCCCAAAAGCAGGCTTTCCCTTTGTGATCTACTAGAAGATTCCTAAGAGATCATGTTTTTCCGTCCCTCCAGGGGCAGGGAGTGGAACGGGAAGGCCTGTGCTTGTATCTGTGGCTGCTGTTGCTGAAAGGATGACCGTGTTATCCTGGAGATGGGCTTTACAGTCCCCATTAGCGTGATAAATGGTGTCATTATGGTCCCCGAGCCAGTTATGTTTCCACAGCTTCATCCTTGGGATCAGACTCCCAGAAGGATGGGAGGTCACGCCAGGTGAGCTCAATGGCCAGAAAGCCCTCTCGTTTGTGACACACGCAGATGAGTAAGCTGACGCCAGTGTTAGTAGTCCACCAGTTGCTCGGTTTAGTCCCTCGCCTTCTCTGATCTCCTGTCCCAGGATTTCCTAAAGGGCATTGTTCAAAACACTAGACTTAGGAGATGCTTTGGGAAAGGGTCCTTTGACCAAATAAGGTAACAATGCAGTATCCGAGGCCCTCGTTCACGGTGGAGATTGAGAGTCCACGTCCTGTTTCTCGGCATCTCGGTGCGTCTTGCGGTCGAGACGCCCGTGCCGCCTGCGTGCTGGGGGAGGCCGTGCATCCAAACCTGGGCACGGTCTAGGCAGGCACTTGAGGGTCCTGCAGGCTCACTTTTTCTTACCCTTGAGCAAATGCTTGAGAGCTCACTCGCTCGCAGGCCACCACGGTCCAGGCCCTGGTGGCAGATCGGCAACCAGAACGGCAAAGGGGAGAGCCCTCATCTCCAGTAGTTTATTTTTATACAACTGAGCTCTGGGATTTTTTGAGGGCCGGGCCCGTGCCGGGTGCTGCAGGTGTAGCTGTGAGCCGAGCAGGGTTGGTGCATCCACGGAGCGCACTTGTCAGTGCTCACTGAGAGGGACCTTTCCGGTATCAGGAGTGTATTTTCCCAGTTTTGTTTGTTTGTTTGTTTATTTATTTATTATTTTATTTATTTTTTTAAATTTATTAATGAGAGACAGAGACAAGCAGAGACACAGGCAGAGGGAGAAGCAGGCTCCATGCAGGGAGCCTGACGTGGGACTCGATTCCAGGACCCCAGGATCAGGCCCTGGGTTGAAGGTGGCGCTAAACAACCAAGCCACCTGTGCTGCCCAATTTTCCCAGTTTTATACATGAGGAAGGGGCAGCGCCGCGCCATTAGAGGCGCCACAACTTGCCCGGGCAGTCGGGAGGTCAACAAGAACATCTTTTCCCCATCACACCGTGGAGTAGTCCCCGCCCTTGCATAACAGAACACTCGGCTGCGTCGTCTTTGGGCTGCTGTTGGAGAGTTCTCTCCGGCATTTGTGTGCAAAGTTGGGATCATCGCCTTGAAAGGAGCTTTCTTCCACACGGCTGACCTGTCTCATAAAGTTCTTACGAGGAAGATTCATGACCTACGTGCACAGGCATGTCTTGATGACACACGCCAGCTCCAGGCAGACTCTGCTAACACCTCAACTCTGCTGCGTTCTGGCCTCTGAACATTTTTTCAGGTTATTCAACTGTGTTTCCTTTTGTGCAAAATGGTGGAGTTGGGCGTATCATTTCGTAGTGCGTAGTGAGGCTTCGGTGAGAGAGTAGAGCCCTGGACTGGCGCCTGCCTGACGGTGGCTGCCCGGCCACCGTGAAGCATCACGGCAGCACCGGCTCGTTAGAAGCCACGTCGTAACGTGTGCGAGGGTGGATTTGGTGGCCGTCATGCGTGTGTCGGGATATGAGATGGCTCTCCCTGTCCCAGGCACGAGGTAAGCAGATTTTTTTGTTCAAACGTTCTCTCCAGGAGAATGCAGCTCTGTGTGCTCCGGGTGAGCGAACATGAAGGGGGACTTGAATGGTACAGTCTCCTTATTTGAGAACCTCCTGTGAGTTATTGGGGGAAAACAGAAAACAAAGGGCCTTTTTATCTACGCAAGATTTCCTTTCCAAGATTCTTCATTTTCCATACTGTAACTGAATGCCTTCTTTAGAAGGGTTGGGTGCCGTTCCAGCGTCTGCCGAGATACGGGATGGCTGGGGCCCGAGGTGCTGGGGATTTCAGGACAGCAATAGGCTGTTCCGTAGGGATGGTCACTCATTTGGACACCACATTCTTATCTTAACCCTAGTATGGACCCTCCATCCCAACACTTCATCGGCGTTGTTCACCTGGAAGTCAAATATTTTGGCATTTTCAGAACAATTAGAGATCATGCCCAGACACTGAGGGGGGCACTTGATGGCATGAGCACTGGGTGTTGTTCTGTATGTTGGCAGGTTGAACACCAATAAAAAATAAATTTATAAAAAAAAAAAAAACTCACGCCCAGAGAACGTGCTTTCCAGCCCTGAGAAGTAATTTGTAATTGTTCCTCTCATCTCACAGAGCCACTCAGCTTTTTCTGTACGTCCTTTAGAGGCTGGCTTTGCCAATCTACTCTTTCCTCCGGGCCCGCAGGAGAGTGAGTTTCTTCATTGAGGGGTCAAGGATAAAAATAGGAGATCAAGTCAGTGTGGTGCTCATTTTCTTTATTCCTACAATACTAGTATTTTGTCACGCATGGAGAAAAATTCTTCTTGCCTCCCCAGTTTATCAGAAGAATCTTAATTTGAGCTGGAAAGAATCTCCCCATTCTTCAGAAGTCGCCTCGCTGTAACAAGCTCTGTCCAGACGCGCCATGGGTACTGGCTCCCGACGGTCAGATGAGCAGCCTGGAGGCAAGGACTAGCAT